TGTAAAATGTACAAATTAGGTAGAAATGCCTTCTAAGGCCATTTTCTTTCACTCTTTCTTAATGAATACCAACTTTAAACTATTTTATTCATACACTTTTCTGTGCTTTACCTCTTATTTGAACTCAAAAGTACACATTTTCAAAGCAGCCTCACAGAAAATTATGATGTTAATGTTTATAATATTTTTCTTCATGCCTTATAGTTGCATTTAGCAGATTAGACAACACTAGAGTTACATTGTGCGACAATACAAGCAATCAAGCATTTGAGATTTGCTATATATTGTAAAAAGCTTAATATGAGTGTACTGTATGTATGCAAATAAAATGGACGTACTTATACAATTTTATATAAAGAGTTGGGTGATAGTAGTTATATTTGCAACAAACAATCAAGCACTTGCTATACAGTTTTTATTGCTTTGCATGAGTGTACTGTACATATGTAAATAAATTTGGATATCATATATATCCAACTTTACATACAGAACTGTGTGATTTTAGTTATTGTTTGGCGACTGATGTAAACAATCACGCAGCCGAGATTTGCTATTTATTATGTATTGCTCTGTGAGTATGCAGGTAATAACATGTACTATATATATCCGACTTTTAATATATCGCTGGGTGATCATTTCGAATGTCTTTTTACATATGTTTATATCTCATTTGTAAACATAAAGAGATTGTGTTAAAAGAAAAAGCTGCAGCTGCACTTCATCAAAAACTCATTTTGGCTTGTGAAACACAACACAGCACCATTAGTGTCTGTCCTGCTCTGAAATGCTTTTGTTGGTGTGATTCAGGAGGAGCACTGTGCTCTTTAACCCGAGTGAGTCTGCTCTTCTGTTATCTACAGCCCTGATGCCCTCTGACCTCTCTGTGTCCGACAGATCTCAGAGACAGCCACCTCTGAGAGATGGATGAATCCAGTGGCTGGTACAGACTCTCACGCACAGGAGAGAGAGGAGAAAACACACACATGCTGGAGAAGAATGAGTTACTGGATTGGTTATAAAGGTCACTCCAGATCCACAGATCCAGACTTGAATTTGCACACTTGATGGTTCTTTTTTTTTTCTTTTTTTTTGGGTAAAACCAAAACATAAATGCAATGTTCTATCATGGTTGGGGTCTAAAGGATGTGTTTTAATAATGGTCTCACAGGCACCGGAGCCCTGGACATTCAACTCAACTCACACACTTCATCTATCTGACATATGTGAATCTTTGTGCTGTCCAATATCCCTCTATCCAGGAAAAAATTAAAAGTACTCTCAGTCTCTTCCAGATTTTTCTCTACAGTGGCAACAATCTACTAATGCGTCACAAGCATGTTTCTGGAGATGGCTTTAATGTAACTAAACGCTTGGAAAACAACAGCAATTCCCTGGAGAAAGAATTTTACATGTTGTTTTCAAACACAAACTATAAGTCTATCCCGTCACGGTCACGGCTTCATCACAGCTTAAGGATACAATGCAGCACATTCAGTCAAAAACATGCGAGCTGCTATTGCACTTAAGCACAAAGAGTGAAGTGGCTGCGCTCTCCAGCGGGGTTTCCATGGCAATGGTCAACTATGCCGCGAGTCTTGCCCTGCGCTTTCAATCTGCTCAAAAGTACCCAGAAATCAGGCTTCCCGCAACTGCAGAAATAGGTCATAGCTTCATTCGGGTGGAGCACTCCCGAAATCACTTACAATGAAACTCCCACCAGAACAATGAGACACACACTCATCAGATGACGCGCAGCTGTTTCATTCATAAGCTAATGATAAACTATGAGAAACAGCTCATTAGTGGAGAGCATCACGTTTGCTATTGCTTAAACTAGCGGTGTGTGTGTCATCCTGAAGCATTTGTGTGTGCTGGTGTTTTGATTAGTGATCAGATGCACCATTATCACCTGCTGTACCAGAAAACAGGTGAAAAAATACCCCAGACACACAATAAAGGAGGAACCCGCGCTATATCCACCCACAGCACTCTAAAAACTGCCTAACAACCACCCGCAACACCCTAGAAACAGTCTAGCAATGCCCTAGCAACCACCCACAACACCCTAGAAATTCTAGCTACCTCTTATTAACTACACACTACACCCTAGAAACAACCTAGCAACACCCTAGCAACCACCCACAACACCATAGAAAGTTTATAGCTCTTATTAACTACACACTACACATTAGAAACAGCCTAGTAATGACCTAGCAACCACCCACAACACCATAGAAAGTCTAGCAACCCCTTATCAACTACACGCTACATCCTAGAAACAGCCAAGCAACAACCCACAACACCTTAGAATCAACTTAGCAATGCCCCAGTGACAACCCCAACACCGTGGAAAGTCTAGCAACCCCCATCAACTACACACTACAGCCTAGAAACAACCTAGCAACCATCCACAACACCCTAGCAACAACTTAGCAACGCCCTGGTAACCACCCACAACACCCTAGAAAGTCTAGCAACACCCTACCACCTACACACTATACATTGGAAACAGCCAAGCAACCACCTACAACACCATAGAAAGTCTAGTAACCCCTTATCAACTACACACTTCACCTTAGAAACAGCCTAAAAACACCCTAGAAACAGCGTAGCAACCACCCACAACACCCTAGAAACAACTAAGTAGCACACTAGCAACCACCCCAACACCGCAGAAAGTCTAGCAACCCCTTATCAACTACACCTTAGAAGCAGCCTAGTAAAGCCCAAGCAAACACCCACAATACCGCAGAAAGTATAGCAACCCCTTATCAACTACACACTACACCATAGAAACAGCCTAGTAATGCCCTAGCAACCAACCGCAACACCCCAGAAAGTCTAGTAACCCCCCCCCATCAACTACACACTACACCCTAGAAACAGCCTAGCAACCACCCACAACACCCTAGCAACAACTTAGCAACACCCTGGTAACCACCCACAACACCCTATCACTTACACACTATACATTGGAAACAGCCTAGCAACGCCCTAGCAAACACCACAATACTGCAGAAAGTATAGCAACCCCTTATCAACTACACATTACACCCTAGAAACACGCTAGCAAAAATTTGCAACACCCTGGCAACCACCCACAACACCCTAGAAAGTCTAGCAACACCCTATCACCTACACACTACACATTGGAAACAGCCTAACAACGCCCTAGCAACTGCCCACAACACCCTAGTAACTGAACAGCAAAACTCAGGCAACTCTTCTCAAAAAGTGTGGCTTAACTGTACTGAATGTGCACTTGTAGTGTGCTTCAAAACCTATAAAAGAGTATTTTTGGAAAACTGTACTTTGCAGATAATATAATGAAACAAAAGAGAGTACATTTCTTGACTGTTTTGAAACGTGCTATTTGTGATAGTCAAATTCAAAAATGCATTAATGCTTCTGAAAAAAATTACATTCAGTTCGAACAGTACATTCTTTTAAAGTATATTATTTCAGTGCTCTTTTTAAAAATATTTTTCACAAGGGAACCACTCACGATATCCTATAGGTGGTAATGCATAGAATCAGCTCATGCACAGAAACCGTCAGACAATGAGACACCAATTAAGTAATGCATTACTACAATTTATATCTAAAACCATGTGTTCATGCTACGTTTACCCTCAGACCGAGTGACAGGAACATGCTGAGGAGCTCAGCAGCGTCTGAATGGACAGTGACTGAGTGTTTGTGCTGAATGCTGAACGCCGTGTGTGTCTCGGCGAGGGCCTTTTCTGATTATCACTCATTCTAAACAATCTGATGGCACAGCTGGCTGCACTTGTCCTCTACATGCGCTAATGCCCAATTACTGCAGCTCTTCTCTTACAGCTCCCCCGCCACACAAATCCACATACAGAGAGCGACAACTCTCTCTCTTTCACACACAAAATGCATCTGCCGACAGGACAAAACAACCTGCCAACTGCAAATGCTCAACTTCGTAATGCAGAACTCATCAAAGAGCCACTTGTTGCTTTGAATCTTTTAATTACACACTAAAATGGAAGTGAAGAGACTTCAGATTATGACTATATATATATATAATAGTCTAATAATAATATGCTGCTGTAAATTTTGGTAGTTGACATACTATATGTTAAAACAATACTTTGTCTAACTTATTTTATAATTATTTATAATCACTTTTTATGAACCTAGAGATTAAGGTCTAGAAATTAGAGTCTACATGGAATATTCGCAGAAGTACTACTGAAGTGAATAGCAAAAAAGCTCAAATGTGATTATAAATGGTGAAAAACATTAACTATGTTACAGAAATGTTTATACACTTTCTCTTATTCATTCATATACACTTTAACCTAAAATGCCGATGGGCATGTTATGCATAAACTACTTGTTTTCTACTATAACAGTATACTGTTCAAAAGTTTGGGCTCTGTAAGATATTTTAATGTTTTTGAAAGAGGTCTCTTCTGTTCACCAAGGCTGCATTTATGTGATCAAAAATACAATAAAAACAGATAATATTTTTACAATTTAAAATAGCTGTTTTCTATGTGAATATATAGTGAAATGTAATTTATTTCTGTGATCAAAGCTGTATTTTCAGCATCATTCTCCAGTCTTCAGTGTCACATGATCTTCAGAAATCATTCTAATATGCTGATTTGCTGCTCAAGAAACATTTCTGATTATTATCAATGTTGAAAACAGTTGTGCTGCCCATATTTTTGTGGAAACTGTGATACATTTTATTTTTCAGGATTCTTTGATGAATAGAAAGCTCAAAAGATCAGCATTTATTTGAAATAGGAATCTTTTGTAACATTATAAATGTATTTACTGTCACTTACTGTGTCCTTACTGGATGAAAGTGTTCATTTCTTTAAAAAAAAAAAATACTGACACCAAACTTTTGAACGGTAGTGTATATTAAAATGTCACTGAACACACACCGTTTTTCTATTAGTCAAATGAGCTTTAGGGAAAAAAAAGTCAAATATGAAAATATCATAAACTTGTCTTACCCAAATTGAACATCAATGACAGCAGGACTGCTCTTTTATATCGTAAATAGATCCGTCCAAACTCCATGTCCTGAAGTGATGTTTGACTTCCAGCCTCTAAACCCGCGGACACTCGCTGAAGTCTCCCCGCAGCATCGCGCTCTCATCCGGCTGAGTCAACTTCTGTCTGTCCGTGTCTCTGTCAGTGCCTCTCCGCGGTGTGATGGAAAACACGGTGTGGATGTTTGCCAGCGGAATCCGTTATCCTGCTCCTATCAAACCCTCGCCTGTTGGCTATCAAATCTTCATCCTCTTCTCTGTCTGTATCTGTCACTCTCTCCCTCGCTTTGATTTAACTCCACCCTCTCTCTCTCTATTTCTCTGGGTATGTTTGAGTGCATCTCTCTCTCTCTCTCTTTCTCTAGGAGGCAGATGGCCAGTTCCTCCTAACACCTTTAGGTGACCTTCATCACAGATGAGTGTCAGTCTAAGCTAATAGCAACTGTTAAACCCGACAGCACTTGGATAGTTGACAGTGTACTTTGTCAACTTTCCAAATACTGTTAAATTACAGGAGCACATAGGATTATATATTAGATGCTGCAATTGTTCACAATTTTCTTTTACATCGCTATTTTATAATGTAGTCTCTCAACATGAACAGTATGAGAAATGCATGAATAGTAAGCATGAATAATAATAAAGATGCATGAATATTAATTTTAATATTAATACATTAATAAGAAAAATGTTGCTTAGAGTAGTTTTAGATGAAGTAATCATTTGAACCAAAATCTCTAAAGTTCAGAGCAGTTATTTTAGTATCACTGAGATACAACTATAGTATATATATATATATATATATATATATATATATAATCATTTTATTGCAATATTTTCTGCTTTTGTTATGGTTTTGTTGTCTTTTTTTTAATGTTTATATAGTTTTTATTACATTTTTATTTCAGTTTTAGTTTAGTAATTGTAGTACATCAAAGTTAAACTAAATAAAAATGCAAAATGTTGTTTTTTTTCAGTTATACATATATATTACATTTATTTGCATTTCAAGTAATAGAAATTTTTTTTTATTTTATAGTATTAGTTATCTAACAACACTGGTTAAGAGTAAAAAAATAAAATAAAAAAGGAAGGAAAGATATTTTTACACAATATTTGAACACGTAAAATATCTATTTTTTTCTAGACTATAACTGAACACCACTTGCTCAATTAAACATACAAGTAAAACAGCCACGAATGTGTGCAAACCACTATTTTAAACAATGATTATTTTTCACATACTATTTTAAAACAGTCTAATATAGTCAAAAAATATTAAATATTGTGAATGTCATTGTGTGAACAGCTGCTGTCATATAAACTTCCCAATCACTCAGATCTGTTACCTTCGACATTAAAAGGATAGTTCACACAAATTTTAATTCTGTCATCATTTACTCACCCTTAATTCAAACCTGTATGAGGTTTTTCAGTTGCTGGTACCCACTGACTTGCATTGTAGTTTTTTTTTCCATACAATGGAAGTCAATGGCTGCCGTCAACAGTTTGTTTACCAACAATCTTCAAAATATCATCTTTTGTGTTTAACAGATGTGAGAAAATGATAAAGACTGAGGGTGAGTAGATGATGACAGAATTATCATTTTTGGGTAAACTATCCTTTTCATGTAATCAGCAGTTCACCCAGTCCTTTAGCACAGGTCTGCTCTCTAATCGGATCTCAGTGCTCTCTGGCTGCTGCATGGGAACAAGAGCAGACGCTGGTTAATTAAACTCCTGGTGTAAATACAGTACACGCCACTCAAGCAGCACCGCATGCCAGACTCCTCCTGCATTCCTCACGGGACCCTCATTAAACTCCAACGGGGTGTTTCTCGGTTTCTCTGTTCATTTTATTCAAATGAGGGAGATTAAGAGCTTTACTACACATTCTTGTGTAAGGTGTTTAACATGAAATGAAGTTTACATTATGTCTGTTCCTATGCAACATAAAAAACACACGAAATGAATCTACTTTAAGCTTTTAGTTGCATTTGTCTTGTGTAATATTGATTTAATCAAATGTATAAATGTCTGAATGCGATTCATTAGATCAGGTGTGTTTTTTCTTCACTAACTTCACTTTTGCGTTTGAATAAGCTGTTGTTTTGATGATATAGAAATGTAATATATGACATATACTGCCCTATATCAAGAGTGATATTGCCATTTATGTTACCTAATGCGATATATAATTTTCGCATATGTACATTCCCTGGGTAGATGAAGATATATGTTTATAACATTTGAAATCCCCATAGTAAAATTTGTATATGTACATACGTTAATAATATCTATATGATGATTTATGTAGGAATCCATATTTGGCAGCAAAATATATTTATTTATATTATTATTAAAACAACAGAAATCTCTCTGTTTGTATATGTTTTTGTAATAAATTTATAAATTCACGTCTCTCTTATATTTACTTGCATAATATCAACATGTATTGATTGATTTTTGGATGGATATGCATGTACATGATGTATATGTCCAAAAATGTATCACACATACATGAACATACATATTGTTATGGGCTAGATATATATGTTATTACATGAAATTGGTCCAATTTCTAATAGGTTTCAAAAATGCTTTTACTTCATATGAACATGCGTTTCATATATGGAAATACAATATATGTACATACTGTATATTACAGGTTCACACAGGTGTCCTGTTGGTAGTTCAATATTTTGACATGATAAAACAAAACTAAATCTATTGTTTCATCATTTCAAACCGAACAAACTTCTTTTTGTCAAATGTTTAGCAAAACTGCAAAAGTGTGTTTGTGCATTTTTCGTTGCAATAAATGACACTTGCTTTGATATTTAGCATCTAATTTTGGATGTTTTTAAGTGTCCAAATACTTTTGGGTTTGCTACGTCTTCTGAAAACACAATGAAACATACAACAGTACATTAATTAGGCCTACACAGACCCACATTTTACAAAAAAAAAAAAAGCAAAAAGGCCTATTATTACCTATTATGCTGATTTTAAAAATATTAATAAAAAATAGTGCTGGGCAACGATTAATCGCATTTAATCGCATCCAAAATAAAAGTTTTTGTTTACATAATATATGTGTGTGTACAGTGTAGATTTATTATGTATATATAAATACACACACATACAGTATATATTTTGAAAATATTTACACGTATATATTTGTATTCATATCCTCTATATTATATATAAATATATTTAATATATAAACATAATATATTTTTATTATATTAAATATTTACATGCATATGTGTGTATTTATATATGCATAATAAACATACACAGTACACACACATATATTATGTAAACAAAAACTTTTATTTTGGATGCACTTAATCACGATTAATCGCTGCCCAGCACTAATAAAAACGTTCCATCACATACAGTTTTTCACAAAATAAGAAAAGATTTTTTCAAATTGATTTATCATATAGGCCTCACTGCTTTCAGTTTGAAAACTGACAATTAACCACAAATAATAACACAGATCAATGATAAATTGAAAATAAGATTGAATACAAGATTTGGTGATAATATAGCACAATGGGAGATTTGCATGCAATTTTTAAAAAACCTGTAATTTTGGACTAGGAACATCAAATTAGGTAAAGGGTTTTCAGCACAGCTCAAGGGAAATTTGGGAGAAATAAAATGATTAAATATCCTTTAGTATAACATGCATCAGTAACATAAGGTCCCTTTAAGAAGGTAGTGGCGTGTGAGTAGCAGTATGAAGAGTGCTGTAATCCGTCTTATATCGACTGCCTCACTCAGCACTACTACTGACTAATGTCATTATTCCAGCAACTAAAGCTCAGTGAGGGAATAAACAGCAGTCAGGAGATAATGACTGAAAACACACACACAGACTGAAGCAGTTAGACGTCTGACTGGGTCACCGTTAGGAGTGACTCTGAATCACGATTAAGTGAGTGAACGCAGAAAGAGTGTGAGATTGAGCCCGAGGCTCTTAGACATCTGCTGCATAAATCCATCAGGAGTTTATCAGACTCAGAGAACTGTGCTGATTTAAAGGTCTTCACAAAACACTTTGACATCTTTTGGGCTGTAAAACAGAGCTCAGCGCCTATTGCCATTCTGTTCTATTTGTGTGTATTATTCTGCCAGAATTGGTCCTTTTGTGGTGAAATATCCCAAAAATAAAAGTTACAGCACTGCAATTGTGATGCTCAGTTGTGTGTTTATCATTTTATAAAGGAAATGTGAGTGTTGTTTGCCTGTGCTAAAGTCTCCAACATGATATATGATGTTGTCGGTGGTTGCCAGGGTGTTGCTATGTGGTTGCTAGGGTGTTGTGGCTGGTTGCTAGGTGGTTTCTGCATCTGAGTCCTGCATCCTCTCGTCTCTGTGATATTCAGGTTTCTTGATATGGCTCGGGTTAATTAAACCTGTAATTAGTCATAATAATAATATATTTTTTAAATGGAACATTTCATTGAACCTTAAGATTAAATATATAAATCAATAATATAAATAAAATGTTTGCATATGCTTTTTTTTTGAGCATCTTATTTGATTAATCAGGCTTTTATGGCTCATATTGTCTGATATAGTGAGAATAAGGAGGAAAAACAGCTCAGTTTTTTTCAGCGGCGCAAAGTAAGCAAAAATATGCAATTTGGTGCAGATGCTGATATTTGGACAAAAAGTGATGAAATTCTGATGCTTGTAATGTAAATCAATGAGATCTTTATAACAGTACAGCAGATACTTACTGTACATAAAATGCATATAAATGTCAGTTGTCACTCTATATCTCCCAAAAATATGTCTCAGAAAGATGATATTTAAATGGTTAGTTTTATTATCAAAACATATAATGCAATGCAATACATTACCTGTATGATGCAATACCTGATGATCAGATTTGATGCTCACATTTGAACATGATTTCATAGAAAATCAAGTAAAGCTAAGTTGCTTCAGTCCAGTAATTGTTCGACTTGAAATATTACTAACAATATCAAAGTTATTATGTTCACGTTATAAAAATTTGTAAAACTTTTACTTAAAAAAAAAATAATAAAAAAGTCTAAACTATCAATCAGATGACAGAAGACATGTAGTACATTGGGTGTGACAGGTTCAGCAAAGTTATGATCATATTGATCATTTAGAGGCCTATATCAAATATGATACAGTAGCTTTATAGGGTTAAATATGACTTTATAAAGGTTTGAGACTTTTACAAAAGCACATAGCATCACTTTGTCTCCGAGATCAGCAAAAACCCTT